ATTAGCCATTGACTCCATTTTACAATTATTTAAACACATTTTAATCATGTCCTTGGCAGAGGTGGGAACTTAAAATAACAGAATAATAATAACACTTAATGAAAGATGTGCATGTCTCTTATAAAGGATACTACAAAATGGGTATTTCAGCTCAGAACTTTCCAAAAACTAATCCAAATGGGCATGTGTTTAATCTAGCAAATAGGATATCACACTCCACATACGACTACATAGCGTTGATTTCCAGCTCAAGTGCCCAATTCTAACTTTCTCCTAAAGCACACCATGGAAGGCAACAGTTGCTTTTTTTTATTGTAAAGATTTATTTATTTTTATTGGAAAGGCTGGTTAGATTTATAGGCAGATCTTCCATCCTCTGGTTCCTTCCCCAGATGATCACAACAGCCAGAGCTGAGCCAATCTGAAGTGGGAGATAGGAGCTTCTTCTAGGTTTCCCGTATGAGCATAGGGTCCCAAAGCTTTGGGCCAAACTCTGACCAAGGCCATAAACAGAGAGCTGGATAGAAATGGAGCAGCTAGCACATGAGCCAGTTTGTGATGCCAGTACTTGGAGGTGAAAGATTAGCCAGCTGAGCCAAAGCACTGGCCCTAGTAGTTAGGTTCTTACCATGCACTTGCGAGACTGAGTTGTCAGGCATCTGGCTTAGGACTGGCTCTTACAGGCATCTGAGGAGCAAACCAGTAAATAGGAGCTCTCGCTCTCTTTACTCATCATCTCTCCCTTTCCTTTGGGTTTCCTGTCTCTCAAGCAAATAAACAGATTTTTAAGCCTATTCTTATTGGAAAGGCATATTAACAGAGAGAAGGAGATATAGACCCTCAACCTACTGGTTCACTCCTCAAATGGCTGCAGCAGTCAGAGCTAAAGTGATCCAAAGTCAGGAACCATGAGCTTCTTCCTCTAGGTCTCCTACATGACTACAGGACCCCAAGGCTTTGAGCCATCCTTTGCTGCTTTTCCAGCCCACAAGCAAGGAGCTAGGTCAGAAGTGGAGCAGCCAGAACTTGAACTGGTGCCCACATGGGATCCTGGCACTTACAATGTGAAGATATAACCACTGAGCCATAACGGTGAGCCCTGAATAGATTTTTTTTAAGCCCACCCTGGGTTTATTTGAGAGGAAATGGGGAGCATGAAACAGGGAAGGGGACAATGACAGAAGCTGTGAGAGGGATGGCAGTGAGACAATCACAACCCTGGCCAACTGGGACCTCATCCTATGTGGTCGAGGAGACAGCTTGGGATAGTGCACTCAGGCACCCAACTGCAAGAGCAGAAGTTGGGGTGCTCCTGCAGCCAGGCCCAACCTCTCATCAAGGAGAACTTCTACAGGACTCTTCAGGCTTTGAAGGAATTCCTAGCTGAGCAGGGAGACCTTGGGCAGAGAAGAGAGATGCAGAGCTAAGTAGGTGTCAGCATTCTGGAAGCTTCTGTCCCAGGTGACCTCAGATGGGCCTCAGAGACATAGGAGGGAGCATCAACAATATCTCCACTAGGGCACATGAAGGAAAACCACCTCAGCAAGCAGAGGTATATTATTTCCTGGGTAGGAGAGCAATGCATTACACACAAAGACATCAACTTTATAAATGCGCTCACAAACACAATGCAATCACTACCGTGGGTTTCCAGGAATTCGATAAGATTATAAAACACATCTAGAAGGAGAAATGAGCAAGCTTGTCAGAGAGTATCTAGAAGCCAAGAGAAGGTCATGGGTGATATTTGCCCTGCCAGGCACTGAGGCATATTAGAAAGCTTTCACCTGTCCCCTGGGATAGCACCGTTTGCATTTGAAGGGAAAGGAAAAGCATCTCCCCACTCTATACCCCTGTCCCAATGTATCAACTTAATCTGCCTCCTAATGCATCACGCAGACGCTCTGAGAACAGAAGAGAAGGGAGAAGAGAAGGACCGATGTTTCCTCGTGACAGCCATGGAAAAAGTTACTACCGGTAGAGTTCAGGAAGGTTCCAGAACAAATCAGAAGCTTAGAGAAGAAACAAAGAAGAACTGAAAAAGTTGGGAGATCCCAGAACATCTGTGACATAGAAGCAAGCAGGTGGAGAAGCTTCCAAGGGTGGTACAAATTCTAAGCGACCTTCAGCTCCACCTTGGTTAGCCGGGGTGCCTCACACATAGCTGGGCAAGCATGAGCTGAAAGAGAAAAGGAAAAAGTCTGTGGAAACCCAGGAGAAAACAGGAGTGAGAGTGAGCTGAAGGGTTAGGAAAGTAAGCCACGGCCAGGATGTCACTCAGCTAATTATCAGGACATTGGGACTCTCCTCCTAAGGAATTTATAATCTAGCCTGAGATCAACAGGCCTTTTGAGCAATGAAGCAGACACATGGGACTGGATGGTACAAGGCACTTGCAGCTGGAGCGAGCAGGAAGGCATTGTCCTCCTGTGAGACTATGGGGACAGATTTCATAGAAGAGGCAGTGTCTGATAGAGTCCCAACAGAAGACAAGATGGGTCAGGGAACCCAGGGCTGAGGAACCCGCTTGAGGATTCCTCAATTCTTCCCATGCCCCTAAGATGAGCAGAGAAGGAATGAGTGAGTGGTCCTGTGGGGAGGGACGGCATCAGAAATGAGATGGGGGAGTTGAGATCTAGTGCTGTAGCTATAAAGCGCACTTGGGTGGTCCATGTCCCTTATCAGCCAGTCTGGGTTTTGTGTTCCAGCTCCACTTCCAATAATACACACTCTGGGAGAACTTGTGTGTTAGTATATCTGGTGGCCCACTCCAAATTCTGTCCTAAATCCATCCTTTATCACCACCATGATTAACCTGTGAACCACAGCCAAAGCTGCTTCCCAGGCCTTGCTTCTCTTGGTGCCCCTTCAAATCCCACCCAACAACCAGAACAGTCCATGAAGAATGTAAACCAAGTAGCCTTACTCCCCTGCTTACATGTTCAGGGACTTCCTACTGCATGTAAGAAAAACCCAAATTCCCAGCACAGGCTCTGGGATCCTAGCCAACCGGGTCACTTCTCGCTTTATTCTCCTTTGCGGTCAGACACTGTCACGCACCAGATTCTCATCACACTATAGACGAGTGAAATAACTCCTTTCGCAGATCAGAAAAATTCAGGATTTCACTTCTTTAATAGCTCCTTATTCACCAAGGAGGATCTACGTGATGCTGACAGGCAAGTCGGAGTGAGGACATGAATAACTTGACAGTGCTGAGAAACCACATACCCGGAGCTCTCAGGCCCACCATCTGAGACGCCAGGGGGCAAGCCCCACTCTCCACCCTGTTTAGAAAGTGGCCCTCACTGATTTTAGTGGGCCATGGGTGGTTACAGCCACAGAAGAGCCATTCAGAATAGAATGGGATGGGGAGTAAGATAGGGCCATTTCCTTCTGTGTGGCTGCCTATCCCTGTGGTTAGTCATACGACTGACAAAAGTTTCTAAGATTATGCCAGTCCTGGACCGTTTTTGAAATTGCCCACAACCTCTGAATACACAGCTGCTTGGGTCTACAGCATACAATGGAAATGATGTCACAGGACTTGTCAGGCTGGGCTAGAGCATTCAGATCATTCCAGCCTCCAGTCACCAAGGCAACTGCCCTTTAGAGCCTTCTAGATGGGGCAGCCGCTCCTCTGATCCCTGTGCAGTAAAAGCTGGGCTGTAGCATCTCCCGACCAAGCTTTCCAGAGTCGCTTTGGTCAATAGGGAGCCAGCCCCTCTGGCCCATTCTGCTGTGTTCACTCCCTCCAGCCCACCCCAGCTCTCCTCCCAGCACCCCAAGAGCTCTCAGGACAGAGACAGGACGCCAAGCCATGTCACCATGTCACCGCAATGAGCCACCTCAAGGAAGGAATGAGGCTCTGAAAACACCACCAACCTAGCCACTACAACAGGCTAACCGCGTAACCGTGGCCCCCGTGGGGCCCAGGGAGGGCTACCAGCTGGCGGCAACCCAGCCCTCTTATCTCCCCGTCTGGCACGCTCTTCCAACGCCCAGCCCTGTTCACAGTCACGTTCAGGCACTGTTCACACCAGCTCTGCTGTTCCCTTACTTCTTCCTCCCTCCCCCACCGACTGCTTGCTAGTGACCTGATTCTTGAGTCCCAAATCCCATTTCCAGGGGTGCCGAACACTCCCAAACCTCTGTGCTGCCCTGCTTCCCGCCCATACCCACAGACAGGACACTAGCTGCCCCTTGCTCCACCACCAGGGCAGCCCCTAGTTTAGTGCCCCAGTTTAGGCAATAATTTGTACAGTCACCTATTCTTATTCTTTGCAAGGTGGCAGACCCCTCTCTGCTGTCCCGTGGGATTGTGAATGAGTGGCCTTCTGTTTCATGGACGATATCCAGACCATGGGCAGGGTGGCATCCTAAACATAGCGCATCCTTCTCTTTCGAGAATACTCAGGAGCAGGAAGTGAATCAATGAAGGAAGGCCCGCTGGGGTGGGCAAGGGACAGCCCAGGGGGAGGCTGAGAAGGGTGGGTGATAAGGCTGCACCTGGAAAAGGCAGCCCCGTCCTCGTCCCAGCAGTGACAAACCGACATGCGGATTTCTAGTTCTGAACACGAACACTGGGCTGATCCAGCCTGGCAAAATTGTCTTCCACAGCATTTTTCTGCTTCAGCGACTGCCCTCTCATCCCCCTAACCTTTGATTCTCTCCAGGCGCCCCTTACGTAACGGGAAGCTAAAACCTTAGGACCGAAATTTCCCATTAAGGGTGATTTTTATAGTCCGTGAGCAACGCCTGAGGAGAGCGGATACCTGGGGGGCGGGAACGTCCGAGGCCTGCGCTCCGGCGAATCTCAACTCGCTCGTCCGGTGACTCATTCCAGCCCTGCCTTGAAAGGAAAAGGCGCGCCCGCCGGGGGCCGGGCCGGGAACGTGCTCCAGGCCGGGACGTGCCCCTCAGGCCGCGCGGCCATTGGTCCCCCGTCCCCTGGTCCCGCCCCGGGCCCTACACCCGGCCCTGCGCGCTCGTCCTCGCGCCAGTCTCGCTGACAGTGCGGCGGCGCTGCGGACATCCAGTCACCTGCCGGCAGCAAGCAGAAGGTAAACAGTCAGCGGCGGTGGGGTCGGCCGTGTCGGCGGGGTGCCGAGGCTTGGGGGCCGCAGCAGAGCCGAGAGAGGGAGACCCCGGCGGAGGGGCGAGGGCGCGCGGCCAGGTGGGGTCTAACCGCCCTGGCACGGGGGGAGGGGGTCGCGCGTGGCGCAATCCAGGCCTGCCCGGTGTGCCCTGTTGCGTTCTGCCTTGGGAAGGCCTCTTTATTCGGCACGGGGCTGCGGGGCGCAGCATTGGCGTGCCCAGGTACCTGATCGCGTCCCCTCGACTCCAGGGGCTACGAGCTGGGCGGGTCGCAAGACCACCGGGAAGCAGGAGCGGTCCCCGCCCTGGGGACCCTCCGAAGGGTGCCAGGCGACCACGCGGCCCTCAGATCCCAGCTTTGGGGATTTTTCGTCCGTGGAGAGCGGGGCGGCTCCTCGATGCCTCAAGGGCACTCGCGGGGAGTGGGGCGGGCGCCTGCCCTGGGACCTCCTGGAGCACCTGGGGGGAAGCTCGGCTCGCCCTCCTCTCCACCCCTCAGGAGGCCGACGCCGGGCGTGGGAGCCTGGGGGTGTCTCGGAGAGGCCCCGGCTTCCGTCTACACAGCTAGGTCACTGAGCTTTCCAGGGGTCGATTCTCAACTCGGGCTCCTGGCCCCGGGCTCTGCTAGCCACAGGGAAGACCCTCGGGGTCGCTCTGTGCTCTTTTCCAGTCGTTCTGGAAGCACAGACGCTGGCCATGGAGATAATGCGGGAGAGGACCCGAGCGGGTCACCGGCCACCCCCATCCAACTGAGGGCGCCTTCAGGTTCTTGATAAGGAGGCAGTTTGGCTCTACTTTCCACGTTTGGTTTTTTCCCCCTTCTTTTTCTCTTGGTAGTTCCATCCTGAGGCAAATATTCCCTAGCTGCGTAATGCAAGCCTGGGCACTTCCAGCCTCGTGTTTCTTTGCTGCCTAGCAATGCGCACTGCAAGGCAATTTCACCACCCTAGTCTTGCTCACCACCTTGGCTGTGTTATCGTGTGAGGTGGTTTTAACCCATGATTCACACACATGGAGGCTCTGAGATGTTTCCCTTATCATTACCAAAAAAAAAAAAAAAAAGGATTAAAGCTGTCTGCAAATCTAGGGATTGAAAAATAGGAACAGAAAAGTGAAATAAAAATGTGAGATCCCTGGGAAAACTAGCAACTCAGATATTTAAAGGCACGGGGGAAAAATGGGCAAGGAGTAAATTTTACCTACATAGACAATGAGAAGCTCCTCCAGCCAAAAAAAACCAAAAAACTTGGGAGGGGAAAGAAAACAGAGGCAGTTTCTATGCTGTTTGTATCTAACCTCCTATTTTCATGCTTTTCCTCTGTCACTGTTACAGTAAATAGCAAATTGTAAAATCAAGCAAGTTTGATGTACCCTTTTATGTGCTTTTTTTAAAAGATTTATTTACTTGAAAGGTAGCGTTGCAGAGAGAGGATCTGCCGTTTCACTCCCCAAATGGCCGCCGGCAGTCAGGGCTGAGCCAGGTGGGAGGCAGGAGCCAGAGGCTTCCTCCAGGTCTCCCATCAAAGTGGCAAGCGCCCGAGCACGAGGGTGAGGGATGCTCTGCTGGTTCCCTTGGCACACGGGGAGGGGCTGAGAAACGAAGCTGTACCCGTATGTGATGCCATTTCCGCAGGTTGCGGCTTATGTCTTAACACGAATCACTGGTGCTAGCAACGGCAGCCCCAGAGGGTGGTTACTGGAACTTGGCACATCCAGGCACCCGGGCAGAAGGCTCGGTTTGGAGTTAGCCAAGGGGATTTTGTCACCAGCTTTGTGGCTTTGGACACATTAGCCAATTTCCTGACCTTCCTTCTGTCCCTTCGTAAAGAAAAGAAAATGACTCCTAGGCGCTTGTTGCCAAGATTAACATGTTAAGTGTCTAGGTAAAATGACCCCTGCTTTGAGTTCTGTATTCATTTTCTTCTCCACACCCCACTGGGGACATTGTGGGTCAGGGCACACTTCCCGTTGTGGCACCAGAAGGTTCTGGGAGGTTAACTGCTGTGACCCAGGAGCCACTCAGGGAAATTTACCTGCAGTTTTGAGAACCGAGCAAAGCGGAGTGCAGGCACCTGATCCAGGCGGAGTGATCTAGAATTAGAACCAAGAACTGACCTAAATATATGCCAGCAGGGCCTCAGCTAAGCAAATGATGACACATTAGCTGAAAGGAGCATCATGTAGCCCAGAAATCATGATTTTGAAGCTTAAGATGTTAGGGACAGGGGCTGGTGGCAAGGTCAGTGCAGGTAACTGAACTATGTGCATTTGCCCGTCCATGACTTAGTGTGTGAACAATCAGAAAGGAGGAGCAGAAGGAATGGATGCCTTTTGCTTTGTTTGCTTCCTGAGTTGCTTTCACTGTGGAATGTTGGGTTGTGTTTTGTTTTGTCTTGTCTTGTTAAAGGTTTTGTTTTTTTAAATTGGGAAGTCAGATTTATAAAGAGAAGGAGAGACAGAGAGAAGGATCTTATGTCCACTAGTTCACTCCCGAAATGGCCACAGTGACCAAAGCAGAGCCGATCCAAAACCAGCAGCCAGGAGCTTGTTCTGGGTCTCCCATGCGGATGCAGGGTCCTACGGCTTTGGGCCTTCCTCGACTGCTTTCCCAGGCCACAGGCAGGGATGGAAAGTGGAAAAGCCATGAACCAGCCAAGCTATGAACCAGCACCTGTATGGGATCCCGGGCATGTAGGGCAAGGACTTTAGTCCCTAGGCTCCTGTGCCGGGCCCAGACTGCTGTGTTTTGAAGGTTCACAGGTTTACATTTTTAAAATAAGAGGAACTTTGACTCTGTATATCTGACTTTGCGATAAAAAATAAATCGGGCTTTAAAATAAATAAATAACAGGAACCCTGGATTTTCTGCATGTTACAGGGAGAGATTATCGCCCTGTTTGTTTCTAAGCATATTTTTAGCCAATGATGCTTCCTTTTTAAAATACTTTTGTTTTCTTTCCCTTGAGTAGATATCTTCATGATTCAGTCAGTTTTATATTATGCCTTTCTTGGAGTCTTTAAATCCATTTCCCAGCTGTAGCTTCTCTTATTGTTTTCAAGACTCCTGAACGTATTCGGAAGCAACGTTTTCAGCCTAGCCTTGCGTCTTCCCCACTCCAGTGTAACTCAGCTCTAGCAGATTGTCTGTGCCCTGTGGACTCTCTCAGGCCCCTGAGGGTGGGAAGTCGCCAACTGGCACAGAAAACAAGGGCCAGAAATGGCTGTGCTTGTAAACCCGGGCCGTGTGCAGCTCACGCGTGTGCACGTGGTTGTTTCTCATGAAGTCAGCTCGATCCCATGTGGCCAATACCCCAGCTGTCTCTAGAATCATGCTGAATCGTGCAGGGAAGCAGCTGCTTGTAACCAACCGTGGCAAACGGGCTCAATTGCCGCTGCACCAAACTGACACTGACCCGGCGACACAACCACAGGAATGCCTTCCCCGCCCCCCGGTCTTCAGCTTTCTGTTCCATTCTCCCTTCGCAGATCTGATTTCTTCTCCCAGAGTGACTACGTCAGCTGTGACCTGCTGCATATTAAACATTCAAAGCATGTCTCTAACTCGGTGAGGGCTACTGCATTCTCAGTTGACCCTGAAGTGAGCAGTTTGTGCGACACTTTGCAGAGATGGGAGAATTCTTTATGGATCGAGCTTGTTTCTCCTCATGCTCTTACAGTTGTGTGTGACATCGCTGATACAGGAGGAGTGCCCTCTGCAGCAGAGCACCGGAAATGCTCAGGGTCGGGAGTCCTGGGGACTCGGGCCCAGAGCTGGCAAGGGGCGCCCTTTCCCTGGGAAGCCATTATGGGACCACAGGCACTCCCAGGCCAGCTCGGGCTATTATTTATTTTAAACCACCCAGGGTAGTGAAAAAAACCTCTTCCCCTAAATGTTTTAAAGTTTTTACGTGATTGCCATAAAATTCTTTTTGTTTAAAAATTTATTTACTTTTTATTGGAATGGCAGATTTGCAGGGAGATGAAAAGACAGAAAGAGCTTCCATTCACTGATTCAATCCTCAAACAGCTGCAACGTCTGGAGTTGAGCTGATCTGATCCAAAACCAGGAGCTTCTTGTGGGTCTCCTACATGGGTGCAGGGTCCCAAGGCTTTGGGCTGTCCTCTACTGCTTTCCCAGACCACAAACGGGGAGCTGGATGGAAAGTGGAGCATTTGGGACAAGAACTGGCACCCAAATGGGATCCCCGCGCTTGCAAGGGAAGTATTAGCCAATTGAGCCATCTTGTCTGGCCTTTTAAGATTTACTTATTTATTTGAAAGGCAGACTAACAGAAAGGGAGATCTTCCTTCTGCTGGTTTGCTGTCCCCTTTAGGGACATAAATGCCAGGGTTGGGCTGGGGTAAACCCAGGAACCTGGAGCTCCTCGCGTCTCCCATGTGGGTGACAAGAGCCCAAATACTTGACCAGTCTTCCATTACTTCCCAGATGTATTAACTGGGAGCTGAATCAGAAGCAAATCAGCTAGGACTTGAACTGGCGCCTGTATGGGATGCCAGCTTTGCAGGTGGCAGGCTCAACTCCCTGGGCCACGCCAGCCCTGGGACCAAATTCTGTAAAGATCAGTGACTATAAATAATTAAAATGTGACAAATCTGTTCAGTTTAGCTCCAGAAAGACAGTTTCCCTGAGGCCAGGGTCAGGTGAGGGAGGGTTTCAGACCTGTCCAATCCCTATTACTTCCCAGTTGAACCAGTTCAGTGAAGCTTCAAACTACAGTTGCTGTGTCAGGAATCCGGGGCCTAGCACATGGTCTTAGGAATGAGCTGGAAGGCTTTGGTCTGTGCCACATCACCTCGGGACCAGTTCTCAGCAGCTCTTAGTCTTTCTCTCAGAGTATGCATAGGAAGGGTGGGACAATCTGGATCTTTCTGCACCTTCTCTCTTGTCCCATTATTTGCCATTCTGCTTGTGCATGGTGCCACGTGCTGTCCTGGTGGCTTTGTG